TTAGACTCTGACGCAGAGTCGATAGTAAATGAAATACTCCAATGACTTCCGTGCTGGAAACGAGGGGCGCGCTGTTCGAATCCGAATAGGGGCGTGAATTATAAGGTCAGTATCCCCCCTCCATCCCTGTTTATTCTTTTTACTTTTTTCTTCTACTTTTTGATTTTCATTCCAGTGTTTTTGCGGCCGGACGTTAATGCTTCTGATGTCCCAAAATCTCAACAGAAAGGTACACACACTTAGGGGCTGGTTCTTGACTTGCCCAAATGGAAATAGTGAGCGTACCATGAAAAGATACAGGCAAGACTAGGTAAGATGCTCAATGTCAATGCCTACAGGCGTACTCTTCTTTCCCTCACATGATTGCAGAAAATGGAAGAGGACCATCCCTTCCTGCTCTCTTGAGCGTCTGACTTGAAATCTGGAAGGCCCTCTCTCATTCTTCCTCCACCACTTGCTTCCTGCTTTTCGCCCCTTTGTGAAATGAGCAGCAGCAGCGTGCCCAACATGACGAACCGCATATAATCCCCATATCCCCATCCCATCCCAACTTCAACCTCTTCTTCTCTTCCATCCACCTCGTTTTGATTTCATTCTCTCCAACACATCACACCCTCGCTTCAATTTTGGCTCGTTTTCTTGGAACCCAAGTTTTGGAACCTTCATTTCCTCGGGCAGTGCTGTCCATGCAACACAGTCTCGTCATTCCCCTCATTCTATTCTCGGGCGTTTTCAGCAACAAAACACCATCATCATGCGGCTCCCTGGGCCCTCGATGCCCTCACAACGCCAAAGCCAGACAGCAGCCGGCATCGCTCTCGTCATCTTGGCCCTCTTCACTGCCTTTGCCGTGACCCAGGCTGTTCGACCATCCCAGGAAGAGTCCACCCTCTCTCGGAGGGACAACATCGTCCAGGCCAGGCAATTCCTTCCATGGATCTTTGGCGGTGGTCAAACTACCACCATTGCGAATCCTGCTCAACCCGCCATCACTACTCCTCTCCCTGCGGCTGCACCACCCACCCCTAACAACCAACAACAGCAAGGTCCTCTTGGCGGTATCATTCCTCAAGTTGGCCATGTCATTTCCAGCCTGCTCGCTTCTTTGACTTCAGCACTTGCGGCAGTGGTGACTCCGGTTCCATCCATCCTCAACCCTGGAAATGTCGTACCGGTTGTCACCAATGTTGCACCCGCGCCGGTTGTGTCCATACTCCAGCCTGGCGGCGGCCCCGTCATCCCAACAGCCATCCCGAATGTCGAAGGATCCAATGGTGGACTCCTGCCTCCGATTCAGAGTGCAGTCAACAGCATCGTCGGTGTTGGTGGCTCCGCTCTACCTCTGCCTGCCGGGTCTGGACTGCCCGTGCCTCTTCCGACACAAGTCGTTGGCGGCATCCCGGTTTCTGAGGTCACTGCGGCTATTGGCAACGGCGCCTCCATCATCACCAACATTCCGGAAGTGCTTGTCAGCGTTGTATCCTCCATTGTCGGCCATATTCCCTCAGCTGTTAACAACCTTCCCTCACTGATTCCGGTATCTGACATCGTCGGTGCCACCGCAGTCGTCCCGGGCCTTTCGTCTTTAGTTGCAAGTGTCCTGCAGTCAGCTTCAGTCATTATGCCGCTTCCAACGACAGCTCCTCAGCTCCCTGAAGACTTGCCTACCGACGGGAATCTTTGTACTGGAGTTCTATATGAGAGCGGAATTCCTACTTTCATTGCTGTTCCTTGCCCTAGGCAGTCTTCTCCTCCCGCCACGTCGGCGGCGCCTTTGTCTAACGCCCCAGCTTCGAATTCTGCAGTCGTCCCAGCAAAGCCTCCTGTATCTTCTCAACCTGGCCTTTCCACTCCTGCAGCAACTCCGACAGCTGGACCTTCGCAGCCGCCTCCAACAGCATCGTCTCCGGCTGGTGGCGCAAACGCTACTCCTCCTTCCAGCAATCCTACGACGCAAGCTGGAGCTGGAGGTCCTGGCAACAATGGTCAATCACAGAATACTGCTCCAGCAGGCCAGCCTCAATCACCTGTGCAATCTTCGAGTCCGGTGGATCCCAAGCCAGGTAAGAGACAGTCTATCTCGATTTGCACAGTGTACTGACTTACTCCCCTAGCCAACCCTTCACCTGCTGCCACTCAAGCCCCCAACCAGGCAAGTAGCGGTGCAGGAGATTCGCCATCGGCATCAGCTCCCGCAGCCAGCCCCCTAACAACGTTGACTGTCGCTGCCGGAACAGCTGTCTCCAATCCCAACGGCGTGCCAGCCAACAGCGGAAACGGACAGAGCCCTTCTCCGACGTCTCAGGCAGGCGGCTCGGTCTTTGGAGTTGACGAGGGACAAGATCCTTCCTCTGGAAACAACATACCACCAGGCACACCAGTCATCCCCATTTCCGATTGCCCTGCCGTTGTCCAATGCCCTGCATGCCCGGCTTCCCCAGCAAAGCCTCCTTCCGGCTCATGTCCTTGCCCTGGTCGAGGCTACTCTTGTTCAGAGTGTCTCAATGGATGGTTTTGTCCCCCAGAGGAAACTCCAATGCTGCCAGCGCCCTGCGGAATGGGATGGCCTTGTTACCACTGCAAAGGTGGCTGGTACTGTGCTCCCGACAGCAACAACATGGCACCCGCTGCCGCAAACGATCCTCCCGTCGTTGTGATCAAGACTGTGACAGCTTTTGTCGCTCCCCAACCTACTGGAGTCGGTAATGGTGGTACCGGAGACGGTGGAAACACCAACGGTTCTGGCAACAGTGGTAATGGCAACGGGGGCAACGGGGGCAACGGCAACGGCAACGGCAATGGAGCGCCTGGCAACGACGACCCTGGCGCTGGCAATGGCGGCTCTCCAGCTACATCTACGCCTTGCACGACGGCGAGCAATGGTCAGTACACCCGCCCTCCAGGAAATGGTGCCGGCTCGGCCCCCAATTCCAGCCCGGACGACTTTGGCAGCGGCAATGGAAATGGTAATAGCAACAGTAGCGGCAACGGCAACGGCAGCGGCAACGGGGACGCAGGCAACGGCAATCCTGGCAACTCCGCATCAACGCCTTGCACAACCACCGGTGGCCAACCCACGGATCCATCTGGTTCTGACGGTGGCTCTGGAGATGGTTCTGGAAACAGTGGTCCTGCCAACATCCCCGAACCACCGGCTGCATCTCCTGCTCCCCCTCCGTCCAATCCAAACCCTCCAGCTAACCAACCTCCCAGTCCCGTCTCCCCGGCACCTAACGGAAATCCTCCAGCTGGGTACGGTAGTTACCCTGCGAACCCTGCCAACGGTAACTCAAACAATGGATCTGGTAACGGCTCAGGCTCAGGTGCACCAAGCGGCAACGGAGCCCCTAGCAACACCGACCCTTCAATTCCAGGACCCGGCAGCAACGCAGGTGCAGGATCTGGCAACGCAGGCGCAGAGTCTGGCAATGGATCTCCGGATAACCGTGAACCTAAATCCGCTCCTGAGGTTACTGGCTGGGAGTATCTTGGATGTTTCAAGGACTCTGCCGTTCGAACGCTCGATGGCGACCCATCCATCTATTTCACAGGGAGCATGTCCAATGAGAAGTGCATTGCACATTGTGGCTCGATGGGTTTCCAGCTCGCTGGCACGGAGTACGGCAAGGAGTGTTGGTGTGGCACTGCGTTCCAGCTGGCCGTACGCATCCCGGAAGAGCAGTGCAACGAAGTCTGCGATGGCAAGTCAGCCGACATTTGTGGAGGTGACTGGGCTGTTACCGTTTACAGTAGAAGCGGCCGGGCTTTGAGCTTGCCGTCCGATGACGACGTTGCCAATGGCGCCGGCGGTGGCAACGGTAATGGTAATGGCAACGGCAATAGTGGATCCGGCACCGGAAACAATGGAGGTGCCGGCAACCCACCTTCTGCACCTCAGAATCCTGCTCCGAGACCTCCTGCGGCACCTCCTGCGGCACCTCCTGCCGTACCGCCTGCATTAACTCCTCAGACACCAGGTCAAGGTCAGCGTCCACCACCCCCGGCAGGAAATCCTCAAGACAGCAGCACTCCTCCTGCATCTCCAAACCCTGCACCACAGCCTCAGATCGACATTGCTTCTCTCATCCAGAGCATCATCAATGCGCTGCCCAAGGCCCCCCCTGATGGTGCATACGGCAGCAGTCTGGGAGCAAGGAACTCTGGGTCGTCTGACAGCAATGGACTCGCGCTTCCCGCCAACTCTGCGGTTCCCGATAACAGCGCGGGAGGTTCGCCGATGATGGGTCCGGGTCCTATCAACCCTATGGAAGGACTCAGCCGCTATGGTGACGAAAAGAAGGAGGTGCCAAGCCGGAACATGAAGCGCAGCAGTATCATCGGGCGGCGAGCGGCCGCGAAGTTTGACGGTATTGTCTGCGTTGGAGAAGATGGGAATGATGGCGATTGCTTGGCGAAGGCTCAAGTTTAGAAGGAAAGGAGTTCATTTTATCAAGACGTTATCATCATGTATGAATTATGATCACGGATGCTGGGTTCTCGTTTCTGCACTTACGGCTACTGGAAGTTTTTGGTAAGAGGCGGGCTTTGATGTATGAATATTGCCTGGCCTCAGATAATGTAATGAAACATGACTTCGAACGTTCCATTTTGAAGATTACTGTTTGATTGATTTTCAAGCTTGTCCACTTTGTAATAAATCAGATGAGACTGCGAGGTCTAGAACTTGAGAATACACCCACCTCCGGTCCGCTTCCTCAATGCTCCTCCGAGCTATCGTTCCCGTGGTGTGCGGTTGGCTTGCTGAATTGGATCATCCTAAGATTTCCATACCTGTTGAACATACTACAGAATGGTGAGAATATGAGATAGCTAAGTACTAGTCATTCAACATTAACTATATGTAGACCTTGGGCTCGTGATAGAAGGCATTGACGCCTCACACCTCGAGACTGAGGGAATTATCTATTGTCTAAGCACATTGGATGGAACAGGCAGAGACAGGATTTGAATACGGCTGCACTAAATACTTCCCTCCTTGTTCACACGCGAGTCGCATCCAAAATGGCATCCGTCAACCACCAATCCACCCTCTCGAGCTGAGCCTTTTGCGACACCTCGAGCTGCGTGCTCGTGGGCAAGCTCGCGTTCGCGTTACTCTGGTACGCGAACTGCGGGACCAATCTCACGGGGGACTCGACAGACTCCCCTGCTCCCAGGGCGCCGTAGCTGTGCCACGTGGGCGAGGTGGCGAGCTTCTCCTTGTTCGGGTCGCCGCGGCGGATGAAGCTACCGATGTAGGCGCGCCACTCGAGCGCGAGGCTCTTTTCAAAGGGCGTCATGACGGCCGTGGCGTTCTGGAGGTAGCTGTTGTCGGCGGAGTGGGCGACGTAGTTGAGCGGGTACGGGTTGGTGTTGGAGTAGTTTGTGCCGACGCCGGGGGCGTTGAAGCGGAACGCCCAGACCTTGTTCTCGCCGACGGCTTTGGACATGTATCGTCCCACGAGACGCTCGGAGCCGGTGATGCCTTGCTCCCCGAACGGGCTGAGGGCCATGATGTACGACTTGAAGAGGGTCAGGAAGAAGTTGTCTGGGCTGGCGTAGCCAAAGGTGGAGTTGTTGGGGTAGTAGCTGGCGGCCTGCTTGACCTGGCTGTCGGTCAGGTTCCAGATCCCGTTTGTGGTCGCGTCGAGGGCGCTCGTGTTGCGGGGCGCCGTGTTGGCGCCCTCGTCGTTGACGAAGCCCACGACTGTCTTGACCTTTGCGACTTTGCCCTTTTTGAAGAGCCGTGAGACTGAGTCGGTTAGGGTGACGCCGTCGATCATGGGCAGGAAGGCGCCTGAGCTGCCAAAGGTGAGGTTGTTGAATTCGCTGGCAGGTCCGAGAATTACGTTAGCAGAGGGACTTGTTTTCTTTTGCCAGCATATCGGAGTTTCAAGGTGGTGGTCTCATACCCTGAAGAAGCCTTGTATTTGAGCAAGGCGTTGTAGGCGTTCACCAGTGCAGGAACAGAGGCGCCTTGGAAGCAGTCCAACTGAGACTGTCCGCCCGTGCAGTTCAGCAGCTTAAAGTACTCGGCGTTGCGGTCCGCGAGCTCGTCGACGCGGAAGCTGGGAGACCTCTGCACGGAACGGGGCACAGCCTTGGAGAACAGACCCTGGTTGTCACCGTCGTATAGCACCATCTGCGAGACGACGGCGTAGCCACCGCCGGACTGGCCCATGACGGTCACATCGCCGGGGTCGCCGCCAAAGGCCGCAATGTTCTGCTTGACCCACCGGAGGGCCTGGCGCTGGTCGAGCAGACCGGCGTTGGCCGAGGGCAGGTCGGGGTGGGCCATGAAGCCGAGAGCCCCCAGGCGGTAGCCGACGTTGACGGCGACGAAGTCCTGGCTCTGGCCGACCCAGTCGCTGAAGTCGTTGTTGGGCGCCGCGCTGTACTGCAGGCCGCCGCCGTGGATGTAGAACATGACGGGGAGCTTGTCGCCGGCTTTGGCCTTGGCGGGCTTCCAGATCCACAGCTTGAGGCAGTCTTCTTGGCCGGGGCCGGAGCGCGGACCGACGATGTTGCTGTTGATGACCCCGTACGGCGCGCCGGCGAATTGGACGCACCGTAGGGCGTTGTCTGTCACGTCGATTACGTCTGAGCCGCGAGCCCCGAGGGCCTTGGGGGGCATGAAGCGGAGCGAGCCGACGGGGGGCTTGGCGTACGGGATTCCCTTCCAGGAGGCGACACTTTTCGCGAATCCAAGAAATTCAGAGTCAGCTATGTAGTTCGTCTCGGGAGGATCAAAGACAAGGAAGGACAAGGGTGCAAGGTTAGAGTTAGAGTTTCGACATACGTTCCGTTGTTCTGAACCACGCCTAGGTAAGAACCAGCCGAGCCAAGGTTGATGACAGGGTTGGTGGCATTACCGCTCGGTGGAACGCCGGCACCAAGAGCGGGCGAGGCCGCGAGCAGCAGCGCGGCCGCGCTGGCAGTCAAGACAAACTGCATGACGGAAGTTTGATTGAGCTTGGTGTTTCGCCTTTCCTCTCGAGATGCAATGCCGTGCCCGAGATTCAGCTTTAGATCAGGTCTTGGCGGGAGGACACAATGGGATCTTTATAGCCAAATGGCCGGCAGAGGCCCGGCTGCCCGGCAGCCCGGCTGGAGCCAAGCTGGAGATCGCGGAGGGGGAAAACATGGGCATGGCAAGGATGGCAGGAAGAATGTTCAGCAGAAGTCGAGATCAGATGAACTGCCGACATGGGGTAGAGATGAAAGAAGCTCGAGAAAGATGCTTAGATGCTGTTCAAAATGCGGAGAATGTGGGGATTCTCTGGGGTGCGCTGCGATTTCCCCAGATTGTTTCCCCGCAAGGGGGGTCATTGCTTTTCCCCGACGCCCTCGCACAATGGTTACCAGAGTGCTGGGCCCGTAGACCGTCGTCATCCGTATCATTTAGCATTCTCCCGCAATAGGGAAGGGCCAGCGGCAAACTGCCATCTCTTGGGGCTCATGTGGGCCTGGCATCATGTCCTAGCCGAGGGTGTATGGTAGCCGAGGGTAATGCATCTTTGACGCAACATTTCTGTCTGGAGACGTCTGGATCCGAGTTTGTGGTTAGTGGTGCATGACGATTCTTTTAAGCTTCAGGATCATCCAAGGCCATTGCCAGTCCAGCAGGGGTTTCATTCTCTGGTATTGGGTAAAGTCTCTCTACGGCCTTGCTACTACATTATCGATAGTCTCACTACCCGCAATCTAGCCTCGCACCTTCTCACGCTTTCTTCCAAGTTCTCCACCGTGTATGTTACGACAGAATAAATTCCCGGATATGTCTATTTACAGAACGTCAGGCAGTATGGTTCATACCATTAACCAAAGGTCCCTCTATCTCCTCTAAGTCCTAGTACTGTGGCATCTACCTGGTTGACTGGTTCCACTGGTCATGGCGTTCTTTGGTGTGATAAGTGCGCCTACCTTCTTCATGAATGAAGCAAAATCACTGGGAGCGTTGATTTACTTCCTCCTAGAAGAATGAATGCATGCGTCGAACGAACAAGGTGAGCAGCGAGCCATTCAGTCTCGGGGGTGCGGGGGGACGGTCCGGGGCCCACTTTCTAACGGCAGCCGGCGGTCACGGTGGTCCGGATTTACCGAGCGGGAGGCATTCGCTGGCTCGTCGGGGCAAAACAACTTGGACCCATTTGCAGCCTTCAAGTGCAGCGCGTCCTTCATGAACGCCACGAAGACGAATATCTCCTCGTCATGAGCGAAAGAAGGCGTTTGATGGACCGCCCATATGGGTGAAACTCACCCAGCAAAGCTGAGTCACCTACCTCAGCACTCCCAGGCTCTCCGCCGTAATCATCAATGCAGTGAACTCGTATGCTCCCATAGCGTTGCTTACGCTGCAGGATATAGAGGCTGAGCGACATAAATGCCGGAAGAGCGGAGATGCGGATCGGCGGCCAAGTTCACGGTGTAGCAGTGCTGGCTTGCGATAGTGAGGTTCAATCACAAAACAAATCAGCCCATGAGGCGACATATTCGCAGTTGAATCTGCTCCTTCCGATCATTGCCCGTGCCAAACGTTCCTCCGCTTCCTTCTAGTAAGTTGGGAGCAGTCACCACTCTCGCCGCCGCCGCCGACTCTTGCTCCCTGCCTCCCATCTCAGGTGAGCACATCGTAGACACTTTGAGTGAGTTTGAATTGCAGTGAAGTCCTTGCATCGTACCTTGCTTTGGCTAGACTGGAATGGAGGACCGGCCAATAGGCCTAATCACTATCCAATCCCAGAGGAAAGACGGGCGCTAGCAGGTTCGCGCAGGTTGTGAGATGGTGCATTTCCCAAGGTGATTACTATGTGCAAAAGGTAGGTGCCGCTTATGCGACAGCAGGTCACTTTGGGCGCCTCTCAGGGCTGTGAGCCTCGGGTGGGAATTCGCGAGGAACACTCATCAGCTTACAATGATTTCAAGTGCTCCACGGAATGGTGAACGCCGCAGGCGGCTTTGTTTTCCAAAAGTTTCGGTACTAACTTGATTGAAACAACATGCTAAATACAATTTCCTCCTGTGAACGCAGACGGGATATCGCGTGCTCTTCTCCGTACTCTGCTGCTATTATGCTGGACTTGGTAGCTAGCTGCCTTCGGCCGTATTTACCGAATAATATCGTACTGTTGTGATGTGATCTCATTATGTTGATCGGCCGTTTGTCACTTCATATCCGGGCCCTCCATAGCCCAGCCATGTTCATTTCCATCGCCCCAATTTTCAAGCTTTGATTCCTTCTCGGATAACTCATCTTCTTCTTAGATCTGAAGAGCGCCGAACGTCGCAGCAGAAAGAAGCAAAGCGCCAATTGTAAGTCCAAGCGTGTTCACCCCAGCAGGGACATGCACCCCCGCCGCCGCATTCGCCGACGAAGTAGAACTCGAGCTGCTCCCGCTCCCGCTCGCCGAAGCAGAACCGCTTCCCGACCCGGAACCGCCCGACGCAACGACGCTCGCCTGCGCCGAAGCGGGCGGGTCGACGTTGCCCGTCGCCGTGGCGGAGGCGTTCACGTTGCCGTTGTCGCGGCAGAAGACCTCGGTGTAGCCCGCGCCCTGCTCGAAGAGGCAGTCCTGGAGGTCTTTGACGGACTGGTCGAGGGCGAGGCAGTAGAGGCCGCAGTTGTCGTAGTAGGCGACCACGTCTGCGTCGTTGCAGCAGGCGGACATGATGTCTGTGTGGTTGCCGCCGTAGGGCATCGCGCAGACGCGGTCGTGTTCGGGGGTGTCGTAGAGGCTTGCGGTGCAGGTCGAGGTTGCGGAGGGGGTGGCGGCTGTGCCTGTTGATACTGCTGTGGAAGACATGTTTGCGGTTTTGTTTGGGGTGGTTTGGTGTGTGGGTGTGGTTGTGATTTGGTATTAGGAGTTGAGGTGTCGTGATGTTCGTTTTTTTAAGCTTCAGTCACTGGTGATGGCGGCTGCGGAATGAGAATAGAAAGAAAGGAGCAGAATCACTGGAGCTGGACATAAAGGGGGACGGGGAGGTAAGTAAATATGGATTTTGTTCTTTCTGCCGAGTCTTTAGCGAGTCCAAGGAAATCCCATCCCTTTTCTTTCTTCTTTTCCCTGCTTTTCGTCGTGTATTGTTTCCCTGCTCTGGATCCTGATGGGCGCGGTGGCTCCAGTCTGACGTGTGACAACAAACGAAAAAGCTGAAAGCCTTTCTGCGCATCCCGGCAGTGCTCCAGCCGCAAGCCTGCAAGCCTGCAATGCAGGTTTAGTTGCGCATCCACCATGCTCTCTCTCTCTCTTTCTTCCCCGCGGTCGATCCTATTAATATTTGGGCCGTTGATTGGGAGACTGGCCCCGTTGTCTAGCAAGAGTCGATCCTCCCCGTAATGGCCCACAATGGCGTGGTTTGAGTCCTAGGAGGAGCCTCCTTTGTGTGGAGAATGGGTAAAAAACGTAAGGGAAAAAAGGGAGAAGGAAACATCGCGTTGGGCCGTTGATTGGAGGCTCCCCAAGCTACGGAAGCTTGCCAGCCCACGTCGTTACATCCGTCCGACGTGCAGTAGTTTACTAAATGGGAGTTTGATATGCTGGGCTACCATTGGCGTCGGATCGGCCGCAGCCACGGGGACTGGCCGCTGCCCGGCAACCGGCAATCGGGGAGGTAAGAGAGGCACTAACAATTAGATGGTTGCATCCAAGGGACTCGGAAGTCGGGAGGCCTGTTGGGTGGATGCTGGTGGTGCTGTGCCACCATCTGTGCCACCATCGGGAACTCTCTTGGTTCGATAACTATCCCATCGGTCCTCAGCGGAGCTCCCGGAAGGGAGCCGGTGCGGTACCCCGCGTGCACCGAGGTCGCCCGGGCTTCGCGACGGGGTTTGTCGAGTTTATTGGGTGACCAATTAGAGGGGTTTGCGATACGAGGGAGGAGTCGTCATCTGAGACCTTGTTTGGGAGCAGACGTGCAGAGGTAGGAGAAATGTGAGCCTTGAGAGTTCAGCTGGCTGCAAGGCAAAAACCGGCGGTGCAGATTGTGGCTCGCAACACCATCTTTTCACTTCACTGCGATTTTAACTCACCCGAAGGGTCTTCCACATGCTAAGGTACCTAGACGAGGGGGGGGGGCAAGAGTCAGCAGCGATGGTGAGAGTACCCGTAGTGATGGCCCCCCTTGAAACGATGATTTGAGGGCTTTTTGGCACGAGCAGATGCTGCACAGTGGTGAACTAGAGAGGATTCGCCTCTGAATGTTGTTTATTTGAAGGGCTTAATTCGGCGATTGAACCTCATCATCGCGAGTCAGACATTACTAGACACTTGGGCATTGGCAAATTGATTCTGATTGTCAGAACTTATTTTCAGTTCCTTTCCTGCACTGCATTCTTAACTCACGCAAAGGGCGTGTGACGGGCCAGCCACTCCATCCTCTTCATGGCACTGCATTTATAGCTCACGAAAAGGAGATTTGTTGTTCCGTGTCGTCGGAGAAAGGAGGCGAGTCGGTCACTGTAGATGGGGCCCAGGTTTTCTGCCCCCGAGTTGTCAGCAGAGGCCTCCCGCTCCGTTACACGACGACCGGAGCCGGTCGCCGGTGGAAGTGGGTCTTTGGCACCGCCTGACGTCTACCGTCGGGCTCACTGCTCAAGTAAGATCGTAGAAGATTAGCACACATCGAAAAGCTCTGGCAAACCACATCACCGCAGTCAGTAGAATCGGATAGCAAGCTTGATGCAACAGTAATGGAAGCTGGAAGAGCAGAGGGTCTTGGAACTCAGCTGCCTGCCACGGGAGTAAAGCAAAGACTGGCAGCCACAGAGCCTAGCGTGATGTCAAACTGGTGATGATTCGGGTACCGGGGCTAAGAAACTGACAAAGTGAACCAAAGGTTTGCACGAGCGAATCTTCAGCCTTGGCGCGACCATATCTGAGCGATTGAACACGTCCGCCGAAGTCATCCGCGTACCACAGCCCCTCCGTCATTACCGAAAAAAGGCGTCCAAGGCA